GTGTGACTGTGTGTCACTGTCTGTACCAACCTGTGTGTGACTGTGTGTCACTGTACATTAACCAGTGTGTGACTGTGTGTCACTGTGTGTACCAACCAGTGTGTGACTGTGTGTCACTGTCTGTAACAACCAGTGTGTGACTGTGTGTCACTGTCTGTACATTAACCAGTGTGTGACTGTGTGTCACTGTCTGTACATTAACCAGTGTGTGACTGTGTGTCACTGTCTGTACCAACCAGTGTGTGACTGTGTGTCACTGTGTGTACATTAACCTGTGTGTGACTGTGTGTCACTGTGTGTACATTAACCAGTGTGTGACTGTGTGTCACTGTGTGTACATTAACCAGTGTGTGACTGTGTGTCACTGTCTGTACCAACCAGTGTGTGACTGTGTGTCACTGTGTGTACATTAACCTGTGTGTGACTGTGTGTCACTGTGTGTACATTAACCAGTGTGTGACTGTGTGTCACTGTCTGTACATTAACCAGTGTGTGACTGTGTGTCACTGTCTGTACCAACCAGTGTGTGACTGTGTGTCACTGTCTGTACATTAACCAGTGTGTGACTGTGTGTCACTGTCTGTACCAACCAGTGTGTGACTGTGTGTCACTGTGTGTACATTAACCTGTGTGTGACTGTGTGTCACTGTGTGTACATTAACCAGTGTGTGACTGTGTGTCACTGTCTGTACATTAACCAGTGTGTGAGTGTGTGTCACTGTCTGTACATTAACCAGTGTGTGACTGTGTGTCACTGTGTGTACATTAACCAGTGTGTGACTGTGTGTCACTGTCTGTACCAAGCAGTGTGTGACTGTGTGTCACTGTCTGTACCAACCAGTGTGTGACTGTGTGTCACTGTCTGTACATTAACCAGTGTGTGACTGTGTGTCACTGTCTGTACCAACCAGTGTGTGAGTGTGTGTCACTGTCTGTACCAACCAGTGTGTGAGTGTGTGTCACTGTCTGTACATTAACCAGTGTGTGACTGTGTGTCACTGTCTGTACATTAACCAGTGTGTGACTGTGTGTCACTGTGTGTACATTAACCAGTGTGTGACTGTGTGTCACTGTCTGTACCAAGCAGTGTGTGACTGTGTGTCACTGTCTGTACATTAACCAGTGTGTGACTGTGTGTCACTGTCTGTACATTAACCAGTGTGTGACTGTGTGTCACTGTCTGTACATTAACCAGTGTGTGACTGTGTGTCACTGTGTGTACCAAATGTATATAGAATATAGAATGCACACTATAACAATCTCAAAAAAAACTTTGCTTTATTATGTACAAAAAAGTACCAGAGTGAAAACATATAAGAAAAGATAAACAAAGTGACAGAAGCAAGGGCAAACACAATAAAACAATAGTAAATTACCACAAAAATTCTTACAAGCCTCCAGACAGAAACACGAGTCACCAAACCCCCCAACGTTTCGGCACCAACTGGCTGCCTTTATCAAGAGTGTGTGACTGTGTGTCACTGTGTGTACATTAACCAGTGTGTGACTGTGTGTCACTGTGTGTACCAACCAGTGTGTGACTGTGTGTCACTGTCTGTACCAACCTGTGTGTGACTGTGTGTCACTGTACATTAACCAGTGTGTGACTGTGTGTCACTGTGTGTACCAACCAGTGTGTGACTGTGTGTCACTGTCTGTAACAACCAGTGTGTGACTGTGTGTCACTGTCTGTACATTAACCAGTGTGTGACTGTGTGTCACTGTCTGTACATTAACCAGTGTGTGACTGTGTGTCACTGTCTGTACCAACCAGTGTGTGACTGTGTGTCACTGTCTGTAACAACCAGTGTGTGACTGTGTGTCAGTGTGTAACTGTACCAACCAGTATGTGACAGTGGGTCAGTTTGTGTAACTGTGTGTGGGTTTGTCGGCATGTGTCAGTGAGTGTATTTGTCAGGGTATCCAAGTGTGTGAATGATAATGCCAGTCTGTGTAATTGTGTGTGAATGCATGTCAGCATGTGTCAGTGTGTCTGAGAGTATCTGTCAGTTTTGTAACTGTGTCAGCATGTCTGAGTGCATGTGTCAGTGTGTCTGACTGTATTATTATTATTATTATTATTATTGCCATTTATATAGCGCCAACAGATTCCGTAGCGCTTTACAATATTATGAGAGGGGATTTAACTATAGATAGGACAATTACAAATAAACTTACAGGAACAATAGGTTGAAGAGGACCCTGCTCAATCGAGCTTACATTCTATATATGTGTTGTGTTTGAGCGTATTTGTCAGCTTGTCTGAGTGCGTGTGTCTGAGTAATTATGTCAGTCTGAGGTCTTAGGCAAAACCTCAAATAACAGACCCTGGTTGATGCTCTCACAGTGACAGTAAGGCTCTGGAAGTGGTCCGATAAAAGGCCCTAGCACGTGTGAGGCCTTTGGCGGTTTCCTGACTAGCCTAAATTAGAGCCGCCTCTGTGTGTCAGTGTGTGTCTGTCTGAGAGCATATGTCACTCTGTTGGTGTGTACATGCAAGTGCGTTACTGTGTATGTCTACGTTTATGTGTCAGCTGGTGTGTGACCACCTGTCAGTGTGTCTGTCTAAGTTCATGTGTCAGTGTGTGTTTATGTTTATTTGTCTCTGTGTGTTTGAGCACTTGTCTGTCTTCCTTTGCCAGTGTGTGTCTAAGGGCAAATGTCAGTGTGTGACAGCGTGTTGGTGTCATTTTATGTATCTACATGTGCATGTATTAATGTGTGTATGTATCACTTTGTATCTGTTAGACATGTCCCATTGCTGCTGGGATTTAGTTACAGTTCTAGGCAGCATTTTAGCCGCCACTTGGTAATATTACTTCCACTAATCCGAACATGCATATTCAGATTACGGTCTGCAACCTGTGTTATTCCCTGTTCATTACAGAAAATAGTATGAATAATTCCCATGCTGTATAGAATTCCAGTTTGTGATTTAAAACAAATGGATACAATCACTATCTCTATCCTCCATTACATATTTCTGTTCCCTTTTCCAAAATGGTGGTTAGAGCACTTCCTTCTGCAGAATGTGGTCACGTGATCTGTTTTCAGCAGAAAAAAATATCTACAAGTAAGATATCTTAATTCACATGGATGTGTCAATCTGTGATGAATGTTAATAAGATGTGAAGGTAAATTTTCCGCATAATCTCATTATATTTTATGTGTCACTTTCCCAGTTAACTTTTGCTGAATTGAAAGGTTTATTCACTAACCAGGAATCATGGAAAATTGCAAAATAGCCACATGGAAAATATTATCAAAACCTCTGCTATTTTTTTGATTTGTTTATTTGGGTCAAACATGAGTAATTCCCATGTTAATACTCCACAATTCGCATGTGTGTGAATTCAGCCAATATGTATTATTCTTTATAAAATTACATGCAATACAGATTGCATTACTAAAGTCTGGATAGCCTTATTAGATTAGAAATATTAGATACAAATGGGTCTACGTTCCATCTGAGACTAATCACCAATGAGTTCTGCTTGTAGTATTGTAACTGATTTGTTGTTGTTAAAGGGGGATTTTTTATTTTATTTTATATATTTAGTGAATCAAATATATTCACATAGCAATCGCTGTCAGGTGTTGAGCAGTCTGAGCCGTGTTCATCCTAAACATGCTATGAGAACACTGTTACATAGCAAACTTTGTGTATGGGATGTGTGACTAAAACTACTTTATCATACCTTCCAATTGACCCTATTTAGGATAGACAGTTTCTAATTTGGACTCAGATCCATCTTTTCCTGTTTTCTTTCCTAATGTCCCTCTTTTCTTGCAGTTCCATGTGTCTGAGTGTATAACAGAGCTCCACAGCAGTAATACTCACCTTTTTTGTGTCTTTAAACTACAACAAATGTGTTTAGAAATCATTCTGTATAAATGAGATACATTGTTCTTGTTCTGAATTAAATTTTAGTTCCACACTAAACAAAATTATAAAGCAACACTTGGTTTTCCCCCCATTTTTCATGAGCTGAACTTAAAGATCTAAGACTTTTTCTATGTATATAAAATGCCTATTTCTCTCAAATATTATTCACAAATCTGTCTAAATCTGTGTTAGTGAGCACTTCTCCTTTGCAGAGATAATCCGTTCACCTCACAGGTGTGGCATATCCAGATGCTGATTAGACAGCATGATTATTGCACAGGTGTGCCTTAGGCTGGCCACAATAAAAGGCCACTCTAAAATGTGCAGTTTTATCACACAGCACAATGGCACAGATGTTGCAAGTTTTGAGGGAGCGTGCAATTGGCATATTGACTACAGGAATGTCCACCAGAGCTGTTGCCAGTGAATTGAATGTTAATTTCTCTACCATAAGCCGTCTCCAAAGGCGTTTCAGAGAATTTGGCAGTACATCCAACCGGCCTCACAACCGCAGATCACGTGTAACCACACCAGCCCCAGACCTCCACATCCAGCATCTTCACCTCCAAAATCGTCTTACACCAGCCACCCTGACAGCTGCTGCAACAATCGGTTTGCATAACCAAAGAATTTCTGCACAAACTGTCACAAACCATCTCAGGAGAGCTCATCTGCATGCTCGTCATCCTCATAGGGGTCTCGACCTGACTGCAGTTCGTCATTGTAACCGACTTGAGTGGGCAAATGCTCACATTTGATGGCGTCTGGCACTTTGGAGAGGTGTTCTCTTTACGGATGAATCTCTATTTTCACTGTGCAGGGCAGATGTCAAACAGTGTGTATGGCATCGTGTGGGTGAGCAGTTTGATGATGTCAACATTGTGGATCGAGTGGCCCATGGTGGCGGTGGTGTTATGGTATGGGCAGGCATATGTTATGGACAACGAACACAGGTGCATTTTATTGATGGCATTTTGAATGCACAGAGATATGTGATGAGATCCTAAAGCTTATTGCCAAGGTGTGCCAATTTTATACCTCTAAAGCAGATTGGTATGGTGTGCCAATTGTATGCGTCTAAAGCTGATTTCCATTATGTACCAATTTTATGCCTCTAAAGCTGCTATGAATGCCAATTTTATGCATCTAAAGCCGATTGCCATGATGTGTCAATTTTATGCATCCAAAGCTGCCATGATGTGGCAATTTTATGCATCTAAAAAGGATTGCCATGGTATGCCAATGTTATGCCTCTAAAGCTGATTGTCATGGTGTGCCAAATGTATGCCTCTAAAGATGAATTCCATGGTGTGCCAATTATATGCCTTTTAAACTGTTTGCCACGATGTGCCAATTTTATGCATCTAAAAGCTGCGGCAATATTATGTATCTAAAAAGGATTGCCATGGTGTGCCAATGTTATGCCTCTAAAGCTGATTGTCATGGTGTGCCAATTGTATGATTTTAAAGATGAATTCCATGTTGTGCCAATTGTATGCCTCTATAACTGATTGCCATGATGTGACAGTTTTATGCACCTAAAATTGATTGCCATGGTGTGCTAATTTTCTGCCTCTAAAGCTGTCATGATGTGCCAAGTTTATTCATTTTTAAAATATGCATTAAAAGCAAGTGGGTCTTGAAAAATAACTTTTTTCAAAAGTGGGTTTTGGCCCATAAAAGTTTGGGATGCCCTGATTTAGAAGGTATGAGTGGGGTCCATCAAAAACCTTTATGGATTTTCTCACAGAAATGTCTGTAAGTAAGCTGAAAATATTCAACATGAGTCAAAATTGTGCTTTGATTCAGCAATCCTTAAAAATATTTTGAATGCAATTTACTCGAATTTGGGTTCTCCAAATAACCACTACAACTGAATCCCTGGAGAAGTATTTCATGTTTCTAACTAGTTTTCAACACTTATCTTTTGACTGGATAGGAACATGATTTGTGATAGTAGTATGTTTTTGGGACAAGAGGGGTTACACAAGGATACGTTCAAATTGCGACAGACTTTTTTGAGGATAGGACAGTGTGGGTAGTGCGATATAGAAGCGCTCGGAAATAATTCCAGTTGTGTTATGGGGACCTCCAGTGGCCACATCTGAGATCAGAAAATCTTAATTTAAACATGGAGTTGCCCTTTTAAATGACGTATAAGGAAGTCACTGGCAGATGTGTTTGTCTGTGAAATATTTATTTTCATTAAGGTTTTCCACAAGTTGGGGCGATTTATTATCCTTATTTTTCTGAAAATGCAAATATTTCAATTAAATTAAGCCATTTTCTACTTCATAAAAGGTGCTTAATATAGAACTATTTATTTTCGTAGTCTGTGAAATCACCTAAACAAACTCATTTTATCTTCATGGCTAAGTAGACCTTTCTCTGGTCAATAGTGGACATTAAAACATATCTGCCATGCAAATGTGACATTATACAGAGAATAGCATTTCATATATATGCACTGTGCTAGCCAAATTTACAAATCATATAAATATCATTTGTATATTTTAATGGTTAAGCATATACCTCTGTTGCCTGTCACTATTATTGAATTATGAGATTTTGATAGGGACAGTAGCGTTGCTAGGTTCCTAAAATGATCTCCAGCTTTATAGCACTCTGATAGAGTACATTACATTACTTGCAGGTACCTGTGCCCCCTTTTGAATTCATTGGGGAGACATATCAAATTGTTCTGTTCTAAAAAGTGGTGTAAACATGTAAAAGGTGAGGAGTCACCAATGGAATGTCACTGCCGGTTCCACTGGTTTCCATGGTGATTGGAATACGCTTAGTACTTTATATCATTATTCAGAGGACTTTGATGAATCTCCTTCATTGTATTCAAGCTATATGATTAGCTTGAATTTGGTATAGGGCACAGCCGAAACCTGGCAAACTTGGTAAAGTAATATGGTACCAAAGTGCCCTCATAAAAAATATACCATACAGTTCCCTTTACTTTATTAAAGCAGCCTAGAGGTATTTCTAAAAAAGTCCAGAGACACAAACACCCACATCCGTAGACACGACACGTACAGGAACACATTTGAAGACTCCAAAACAAGATTACAAATTCCCAAACATAAAGGAAACACTCCCATGTATCCCCTAACACACACATATACACTCACTAACAGGAGCTTACATTCATAGAAACACACATTTGGGCAAACACTCAGCAATGTCAGGGGACACAGGTATGCTAACATTGCTGCTGAGCTGGCCATAAACTATGGCAGCATGCAGGATTCTGGATTAGGACCAGGAGCCCTTCATGTTATAATTTGCCCAAAAAGTGCTGCTATCACCCACAAGAATCCACTGTCTGCAAACTCTTAGAATAGGATGAGTTATTGGAATAGTCCTACTGATACAAGCGAGGGTCAATGCCAAAATCAGTTTCTTGCATCTGACTTCCTTGTGGCACATTGGTGTGCCACAGGATACCAATTAAAGGGGAACTTTAATTTCTCAGAATTGGTAGCATTATGTTTACTTATTCTCTATATGTAACAAAAATGTATTTGTGAGGTGTAAAAAATAAAATTAAATATAGGTATCCAAGCCTCTTTCCTTTACAACTGGGCCCCTCAATGTTAGCTCTCAGGCAGCAAACACAGATAAAATATACAGAAAAGATTCAAAATTAAACTGTTTGCCTATTTCTTCTCCTCATTTTCAGTGTTTGACCTGGCTGTGCCAGGACTGTACCGGATTGATCAAAACCTAAACCCTCCCTTGACAACAACTAAGGACTTTGATAGGGAATCTAATAATGCATGTGATTTTTTTCAGGCAACCTCTTTAGGATAGGATGTAATAGCATATAGGTTTGCTGATACTGGTTAAATCACCAATATGGCTCCAGTAAGTCTGACACCAACCTAGAGTGGTTTACTAGACCAGTATCTTAACCCTCTCACTTGGAATATAAGAGACACATAACTGTACAATCTATAGACACTGTGTATAGAATATAGAGTTTCCAACATATGTCATTATCAAAGATCATATCCCCATAAACTGCCAGTGCAAAGGCGTGTGTTGTTTAGCTTATACAGATTGACATGCTCTATAAAGAGGATTATTTTAGCCACAAAGCTTAACCTCTATTTTCATTATGCCTGCCAGGAACTCCAGCGTGCTTTGTCACCCACAATATACAAAAGATTATGGGATCATGCTTGCTTGTTTTGTAAAAACAGGAGCACTAAGGCCATCTTCTTACCATATCCTTTCAGATTAACCCTGGCTTGCAAGAAATGTTATTGTATCTGAATAGAGTGCTGCTTCAATTTGGGGTATTATAGTCCAAAAAGGGCAAGGTGGCCTTTAACCACATGCATGGTAAGTCTACAGGGCCACTTGTGGGAAGCAGTTTTGCTGTATATATCATGTCTCTGCGGTCACATTGCTCAATTCTATGCCATTTAGGAGTTAAATGACTTTGTTTATGCAGCCCTAGTCACACCTCTCTGCATGTGACTTGCACAGCCTTCCTAAACACTTCCTGTAATGTGAGATCTATTGTTCACACTTCCTTTATTGCAAATTCTGTTTAAATTAGAATTTCTTAATTCCTGCACTGTGAATAGCTTGCAAGACCTTTCAGGGGCCTCTTGTTTGTGATTAGCGTTCAATTTACAGAGCAGGAAATAGAATTTTCTCAAGTAAGTTAATGTCTGATTACTGCTACATGGACAGAAACAAAACTGATAACGCCTAAATGGCAGTGAATTGAGGTGTGAGACTTAGAGGCATGATCTATACATCAAAACTGCTTCATTAAGCTAAAGTTATGTTGGTGACTATAGTGTCCCTTTAAAGTCTTCAAGATCTATAAAGTGGTGGTGCTCAGTCCCTGACTGTCATTGCTTCTGGGCTCTCTGAACGCTGACGTATAGGCGCTTAGTGTCATTCCGGCCTGAAGCAGCAGTGCCTGCTTAATTTTTTGATGCCACTCCATTCCGTGTTGATCCAGCGATGCAAGTTACACTTTTTTTGTGGTAATTTTTTACCTAGACCAATAGACATAAGCCTCTATTAGCACACTCTGACTTCTCCTCTATGTCCTGTTCTGGACTATGATCTTTGTCCTGTTCTGTTATCTCGAGAGTTCATTTAAATTGTGGTGTGTGATTTGGTTATTTTTTAAACTTTTTTTTTTTAATTTCTGGCAAGAAATAGAGTATCGACAGCATTAGCAATCCCAATGGAGTCTCCTACTCTGAAATCCTGATACTATCTGAACCATCCTAATTCATCCTTTTCAACTTGCCTCACTTAATGAACACTGCTTAACCAACCTGGTCGTCTGCTACTCTTATTATTTTGTTGTCAAATCATGTCTAAAGTTCAAAATAAAGAACATAAAGTTAACCCCGGCATACGTCTCTTGTCTGAAATGATGCAAAACCTGACACCCCACTTGAAACCTCTGTCAAATGCACTGTGCACAATCAGACTGGGAGATCTGAGGCCACACAACCGGCTCCAGATACAGGTAAGTCTTAAACTGTATTGATATGGCTGGCTGGTAGTCGATTTTAGTAGCTGATTGTGAGAATCGGGCTCAGAGCTTGCATGAGGCACATACAGCCACAATGGAGCTCAGGCCCCGCCCCTGTGATTTGGTTATTGATTCGGCTTTGATCTTGGACTCTTCTGACCTCTGGAATCCCTGACTTTGGTTCTGTTTAACCATATTCCCTATTCTCTGTACGCCTTGACCTCGATTTGTTCCGGTTTACTCTTGTCTGCTTGCAGACTGTATTCTATACTTTCATATGTAAAACCCACCCTATGGACCAGTAATATGTCTTTCTGTAGTATAGGATACTCCTAGCGAGTTTGCGTGTGTAGTCTTTATCTCAGCCCATGATGAGGCAAATCCACTAGGACCAATAGGGATCTACTTTGACATCCTTGGTGTTATAGACATCCTCTTATAGGATGTCATTGTGAAGGCTAAGAGTTTTAGAATATGCATTCAAATATTGTGGTGTAGGATGTAGGAAACAGAAGAGGTGAATTAATTATTGTTGATCTTGATGAATGTCCCGAACGGAGGACTGAAACGTTGATGATTCATTTTTAATTATTGAATAAAGATTGGAAACTGAAAGGACCGTGAGTGCAGCCACATTTTTGGAAATTATATGTGTATATATATAAAATCATACACACATGTAGTAATAATTACAAACCTCAAAATATGCCTCAAAGAAAATTTTAAAACCATGTAAGTACCCTAGCACCTAGTAGCAGGTCAAATCCTTATCCACATTTTTTTCTAGCTTCATAAGTTAAATGGACTTTACAACACAGGAGAGACGATTACACGGCCTCGGGTAGTGTGTATTCTGGAAATAAGTAAGCAGGCCAGTACTACAGAGGATTAATAGTTCACCAGTAACTGTTAGAAAAAAATGTTTAGATTTACAGTGCAGCAGTGTAAGGAAAGCGCTAGTAATCGCAGAATTTGCAGGTAATATTACATTTATATCTTGTATCTTATATTCATAAGGTAAGCCAATGGGGCACAGTGATTCATTCCAGCTAGTGTAGAAAGGGGTGGAAATATTGGAGGCATAGACCAGAGGTAACCAACAGGTTGCATCTAGCTCTACAGGGAGTGCAGAATTATTAGGCAAGTTGTATTTTTGAGGATTAATTTTATTATTGAACAACAACCATGTTCTCAATGAACCCAAAAAACTCATTAATATCAAAGCTGAATATTTTTGGAAGTAGTTTTTAGTTTGTTTTTAGTTTTAGCTATGTTAGGGGGATATCTGTGTGTGCAGGTGACTATTACTGTGCATAATTATTAGGCAACTTAACAAAAAACAAATATATACCCATTTCAATTATTTATTATTACCAGTGAAACCAATATAACATCTCAACATTCACAAATATACATTTCTGACATTCAAAAACAAAACAAAAACAAATCAGTGACCAATATAGCCACCTTTCTTTGCAAGGACACTCAAAAGCCTGCCATCCATGGATTCTGTCAGTGTTTTGATCTGTTCACCATCAACATTGCGTGCAGCAGCAACCACAGCCTCCCAGACACTGTTCAGAGAGGTGTACTGTTTTCCCTCCTTGTAAATCTCACATTTGATGATGGACCACAGGTTCTCAATGGGGTTCAGATCAGCTGAACAAGGAGGCCATGTCATTAGATTTTCTTCTTTTATACCCTTTCTTGCCAGCCACGCTGTGGAGTACTTGGACGCGTGTGATGGAGCATTGTCCTGCATGAAAATCATGTTTTTCTTGAAGGATGCAGACTTCTTCCTGTACCACTGCTTGAAGAAGGTGTCTTCCAGGAACTGGCAGTAGGACTGGGAGTTGAGCTTGACTCCATCCTCAACCCGAAAAGGCCCCAAAAGCTCATCTTTGATGATACCAGCCCAAACCAGTACTCCACCTCCACCTTGCTGGCGTCTGAGTCGGACTGGAGCTCTCTGCCCTTTACCAATCCAGCCACGGGCCCATCCATCTGGCCCATCAAGACTCACTCTCATTTCATCAGTCCATAAAACCTTAGAAAAATCAGTCTTGAGATATTTCTTGGCCCAGTCTTGACGTTTCAGCTTGTGTGTCTTGTTCAGTGGTGGTCGTCTTTCAGCCTTTCTTACCTTGGCCATGTCTCTGAGTATTGCACACCTTGTGCTTTTGGGCACTCCAGTGATGTTGCAGCTCTGAAATATGGCCAAACTGGTGGCAAGTGGCATCGTGGCAGCTGCACGCTTGACTTTTCTCAGTTCATGGGCAGTTATTTTGCGCCTTGGTTTTTCCACACGCTTCTTGCGACCCTGTTGACTATTTTGAATGAAACGCTTGATTGTTCGATGATCACGCTTCAGAAGCTTTGCAATTTTAAGAGTGCTGCATCCCTCTGCAAGATATCTCACTATTTTTGACTTTTCTGAGCCTGTCAAGTCCTTCTTTTGACCCATTTTGCCAAAGGAAAGGAAGTTGCCTAATAATTATGCACGCCTGATATAGGGTGTTGATGTCATTAGACCACACCCCTTCTCATTACAGAGATGCACATCACCTAATATGCTTAATTGGTAGTAGGCTTTCGAGCCTATACAGCTTGGAGTAAGACAACATGCATAAAGAGGATGATGTGGTCAAAATACTCATTTGCCTAATAATTCTGCACTCCCTGTATTCTAAGTACAAGACCAATCACTCTAAGCTAGGCTTGTGTAATTAGTTTTGGAACCAATTTTTGATGGAATTTTGGCTGATTCATCAATATGGATGCCTCCCAATTTGATGAAAAAAATCAAAACATGAATTGATCCGAAACTAATCAAACTGGTTTGGACTGATTCATTTTGAAAATTAGGGATCGATCTACTAAACAACGGGATGAGCAAAATTAATAAATGGTCAACAATCCCATGTAAATATAGCAAATTAGGGAGTTGTCAACTAAAAAGTTAAAACATCAAAATAAAAGAGTTACTCCAACCACCATGACCACTTCAGTGATTTGAAGTAGTCATTGTGGTAGCAGTATGTATATGCAGTGTTTCAGCTTGAAACATTGTACATACAGAGATATTTTTAATTGTATGCTGGGGACTAGTTACAATTCCAGCAACTGCCAACGTCAATTCTGTGCATATCTTGCTCTGTCGTCAACAAGCACTGCATGCTGTTGACCAGGGCTTGCCTTAGGGGTGTGCAAGCTGTGCGGCTGCACAGGGCACCATGGCAGCAAAGGGCATTGGGCGGCCAACACAGCTCACACATGGCCGGGTGTGAAGTAGGTTCTCAGGCATGTCCGTCTACCCTGGTGGAGGATTTCATTATTCTTCATCTGGGACAATTAAAAAACACCAAAACATGGTGGCAGAGGCTGGGCTTACTGAGCTGCAGAGGCGATGCTAAAATGTCAGCAGGGGCGGAGCTAGACACACCCAGAAGCCGATTCTGCACAGGAAGGGCAAAGCAGGAAGGAGTCCCAAACAAGCCCAGGAGCTGCAACTGCCTCCACTCCTTGCTTCCAGCCCATAATGGAAAGAGGTAACTTTCCATGTATGTGACTGAAACTGTGTGACTGTCTGCCTCTGTGTAACTGAAACTGTGTGTGTGTGTGTTACTATCTGCCTGTGTGTGACTGTCACTGTGTGTGTGTGACTGTAACTGCGTGTGTGTGTGTGTGTCTGTCTGCCTGTGTGTAACTGAAACTGTGTGTGTGACTGTCTGCCTCTGTATGACTGAAACTGTGTTTATGACTGTCTGCCTGTGTGTGTGTGTGTGTGTGTGTGTGTGTGACTGTCTGCCGTGTGTGACTAAAACTGTGAGTGTAACTGTCTGACTGTTTGTGACTGAAACTGTGTCTGTGGTTGTCTGTCTGTGTGTGACTGAAACTGTGTGCGAGTGTGACTGTTTCCTGTGTGTGTGACTGCAACTGTGTGTGTGTGTGTGTGAGAGAGACTGTCTGCCTGTGTGTGTTACTGCAACTATGTGACTGTAACTGTGTGTGTGACTGCCTGCCTGTGTGTATGACTGTAACTGTGACTGTCTGCCTGTGTGTGTGACTGTAACCTCTCCCAACAAGGTGACAACAGGGATGGAGGAATGAATATTTTCATGTAAATTATTAATTTAATAAATCCCCCTATACAAAAACTACACCCCTATATACACACACACGCACACTATTCATGGATGAAGAGGGGATAACCGGAGGTGGGGGGGCACTGTTAATATTTATCTCACAGGGGGCCTAGAGACCTAAGGCCGGCCCTGCTGACAGACATGCTAATCCTTCCCTTTTAGAGGCAGAGCGATTACCCTTTCACCCTCGGAATGATCCCTCGCACCTCCCTCTGTTTCCATCAGCTTTTTATTTTAAAGGCTCCCTCTCTACTCCCTCCAACCCCATACCCTGTTAATGTCAACATTTGTGTGCTACCGTATTTTATTCAAACTGGGTGGTATTGATTGGCAAAGAGCACTGGGTTAATCCACCCGCAGAACTCTCAGTCAGTCACTACAATCAAAGTTGGATGACACTGTCATTGATATTGCAATAATAATGATAATACTAGATTATCAATATGCCAGAGAAGGGGGTGGCCTTCTGACGTCAACAAGAGTCCAAGTATATGTCAAACCTTTCCTGACAACATAAGATTAAACTGGGGAAAAGAGGTGCCAGGACACTTGTGCAATTTACCCACCACAGTGAGCTTAACTGTTTCTTAATATGTTAAAATAATCTATGGACAGTTTGTATCCCTCCTGTATATGTGGAGTAATAGCGAGGGCTAGTCTGCAGATCTAAAGCCTAGCCCTTTCAAATTATGGAGGATGGAGACATTAATTAATTAGCTTTTCCCCACTCGCAGTAATAAATCATTTGCAGCAGATAATTTATGGAGCTCTAAGGGCTAGGAAAGAATTATTTCCTTATAACTTTTGGAAGCAATCTATAGTTAAGCTGCAATTTCACTTCAAGCCAGAGGGTGGAGTTTGCAAGCTCTTGCATTTTTTCCGAGTGGCTGATAATGGCATGTTGCCACGTAGGTGACATGAAAATAAGTAACATTGTAGAGGTTGTGTTTAAAAAAAAATCACTTTAAGTTGCACACACACCATTATCGTATGTGTAAAAATATAACGCCAGCCTTGGTGCATTGGTGCATTTTTCTGCATTTTCTGTAGTGTACCACAATAAATAATGGGGGAAAAAGAAAAGAAATACAAATAAATCAAACTGATGGAACAGCAGCACTCCGGAATATTTTGGCACAAATAAGATTATAAATAGATGCAAACAGGAAAAGCCTTAACCCCTTAAGGACACATGACATGTGTGACATGTCATGATTCCCTTTTATTCCAAAAGTTTGGTCCTTAAGGGGTTAAAAAAGAAGCCTTAAAAAGTGAGTACAACACTTTTTATAATTAATAATATAGCATTAATTAATTCAGCCGACCTAGACACAAGTTAGTTAGTGTTTACTGTATTCCGAGAATAGAACCAGCTGTCCAATACTTAGTTATGTTAGTTATAGTGTAGGGTTTTTTTTTCTGCCACACACCCCTCCTGTATTTACTCTGCCCAATATATGATTATACTCCCTCTAGTCTCAGCACTGCTGTATAGTGTGATACCTCTTGCATTTACTGTACCCATTAATGTAAAATGCCACACACCATAACCACTACTGTGTGCTGTAGTGGCTATAGTGCTAGGAGTGCCCTGGTAATCCCCCACTGTAAGTAGTTAAACAGTTTTAAAAAAATATGTACTTAAATTTATTTAGAAAATTAATTTCTACTTTATTCATGTTTATACATATATAATTTAAAGTTAATGAATTTATCCATTTCTATCGATACAGCGACTACTAGTGCGGGAGCTGCTTAAATTGAAGCAAAAGAAAAGTTAAACATGAACACAATAAAGTTTATTGAAATTACCTTTAACCGATGATTAATGAGATCTTTGAGGCTGATGCTGCGAGACTAAATATTTGATATCTGGTTTGATTTTTGAACAAACAAAGGTGATAATCATATTATCATATATTATCACCAAACAGAGAAACCAAACAAGATATGTTTTAGGAAAAAGGTATCAAGAAATTGAATATAATTTTCCACATAATTGTATATCACGCAGGTATTTTTTTAAATTATTTTGCCAGAGTTTTTGGTATCCACAACTGTCGAAATTACATTTACTCTCTTCACCACATTTAATTTCTAATAGTTCTTCTTGGCAAGTTATATCAACGTCAGCAATATTTGCTGTAAAAGGATTTATCATCCGGTCATACACCTTCTAGTTCAAAATGTTTTAAAATCATTTTTCCATATCCAATTTACGTTCGTTGAGGTGGCTACTGAACCTTTCAATCTCCTCTGGAGTTACATCACATTTATAGATGACAATACAGAAAACTGAAGAAATTCAAAAGATTATGATGGAGAAGATCAAGTTTTTCGATAAATAATAAATACTTTTGCAACTTATAAGAGTTATATTGGCTCCTTGAAGTGGCAAATTAATGCAATTACATCTCTTAAAAATGTCAGCCAAATAAAAGGCATCATTATTTAATGTTTTGAATTGTTCATAGAGACCAGCTTATACTTTCAAAAAACTGTATGACACTATACAATGCAACAAAACGAGACAAGCTGATGGCAAGTTGTGATTTTCTATGCATGCGCATGTTTCCTTTTGCTTGTCAGGGGAGATTTCACAGGGGTGCCCAACACGAATGCCTGCATGCTTCCTTTTAGCCATCGAAAGAGATTTAGCAAACAGAATGTTTACTCATGCATATTGGGCGTTTTTGAGAGGTTTCTCTCGAGAGTTTGAGGGAGGCATGCACATGCGCAGAGCATGTGGTTGTGCTGGAGAACCGAGGGTCACGGATAAAACCCACCATCGCCCACCATGAAAGCTTGAATCGCCCACTAGTGGGCGGTAGGGACCAGGTTGACTACAGGGCCGGACTGGGGACACGAAGCAGCCCTGGAAAAAAAAAATCTGTGGCAACCCTATAAGTCATTGTGCTATGTAGTGTCTGTTATATAACACACACTACATAGCATATATACACACATATCTATATATACACACACACCGGTGTGTGTGTGTGTGTGTGTGTGTGTATATATATAATATACACATTAAAAAAAGTAAGGAAGTCAGGCACTCTACCTTTGAAAATTTGTTGAGATGAACCTCGGTGCTGCACAGCGTGGATAAATACGAGATGTTGAAAAGAGCACTCCATAGGATTTGTTTAACGAGCTTTATATGTGATTCAAAATGATCAAAGTTTCGACCCAAGAAACAAAGACCTCTTGGGTCGAAACGTTGATCATTTTGAATCACATATAAAGCTTGTTAAACAAATCCTCTGGAGTGCTCTTTTCAACATCTCGTGTGTATATATATATATATATTGGAATATTTATTTTTCAATTCAAAATATTAGTCCTTTTAGGGTAATTAAATTATACAGTAAAGCATAATCACATGCAGACACAGTCAATCTTTATTATGCACACACATAGGCTCATTGACAGACAATCTCAATGACACACACAGACAAGGTTACTGGTACACACAAATTTAGTACAGACAAACTCTGATACACACACAGGCTTACTACAGACAAGCTCACTGCACACACATGCTCACCACAGACAGGAGCAGAAACACCCATGCTCCCTACAGACAAGCTCACTAACACACACACAATCCCTACAGACAAGCTTACTGACACACGTGCAGGCACACACACAAACAAGCTCACTCACTAGCAGATGCGCGCACACACACACACACACACACACACACAGAAGCTCACTCACTCCCTAGCAGATGCACACACACAAAGACATCCACACACACAGAGGCAGACATCCACACACACACACAGAGGCAGGCACCCACACACACAGAGGCAGGCACCCACACACACAGAGGCAGACATCCACACACAGAGAGACAGGCAGACAGCCACACACACACAAAAAAAGCCACACACACACACAGGTAGATAGCCACACACTCACACAGTCAGATAGTCATACACACACAGGCAGATAGCCACACACTCACACAGTCAGATAGTCATACACACACACACAGTTAGATAGCCACACACACACAGGCAGACAGTCATACATACACACAGAAGCAGACAGTCACACACACAGACAGTGTCACACACACACACACAGGCAGACAGTCATACATACACACAGAGGCAGACAGTCACACTCACACAGAGACAGTGTCACGCACACACACACAGGCATACAGTCACACATACACAGACAGTGTCACACACACATACACACAGGCAGACAGTCATACATACACACAGGCAGACAGTCACACACACACACACACACACACACACACACACAGGCAGACAGTCACACACACACAGATAGTGTCACACACACACACAGGCAGACAGTCACACACACACAGACAGGTGTCACACACACACACACAGGCACTCATACATACACACAGAGGCAACATGCACACAGACAGTCATACATACACACAGAGGCAGTCACACACACACACAGACAATGTCACACACACAGGCAGACAGTCAGACATACACACAGAGGCAGATAGTCACACACAGGGTCACACACACACACACACAGGCAGACAGTCATACATACACACAAAGGCAGATAGGCACACACACACAGACAGTGTCACACACACACATAGACAGACAGTCATACATACACACAAAGTCAGATAGTCACACACACAGACAATGTCACACACACACAGACAGTCATACATACACACAAAGGCAGATAGTCACACACACACAAAGGCAGATAGTCACACACACACAGACAGTGTCACACACACAGGCAGACAGTCATACATACACACAGAGGCAGACAGTCACACACAGACAGTGTCACACACACACACACACACACACACACAGGCAGACAGTCATACATACACACAGAGGCAGACAGTCACACACACAGACACTGTCACACACACAGGCAGACAGACATACATACACACAGAGGCAGACAGTCACACACACACACACAGGCAGTCACACACAGATACACTGACCTGCTTCTTACCTTCACATCCCTTGGAGCTCCTGGGGGCTGGTTGTTGGGGAAGCATGCTGCATTAACCAGGCCCCCCGCCGCACGCTAGCTCCGCCCCGCCACAATTTTTTATTTTTTTTTTAAATTTATGATCCCGGCCAGCCATGTGTGAGCTGTGCCGGCCGCCTAGCTCCCCCTGCTCCCATGGGGCCCTGTGCGGCCGCACAGCTCACACATGGCCGGCCGGGATCACAGGAGCCTGATCACTGATGAGAGCTGTCAGCCCAGCCCCAGGTGCTGTGGCCCACCAGGAAATTTCCTGGTATCCCGGTGGGCAAGTCCGGCCCTGGTTGACTACCACTGCTTTGAAGGGTCATCTCTTATGTATTCACTATAATTCAGTATACCTTCGTGCCGCCTGTATTCACTGTAAACGTATAACATCACGTTTCTTGTATTTATAATATCTCAGTATAATGTCATGTCTCCAATACGATGTCCTTTTTAGGACATAACAGTATATGAGCAATATTAAAAAGGAATACATTAAAAAAAAAGTAATAAATGCAAACAGGGGATTAAACATGCTATGAAGTCTTCACATTTTAGATGTTTATACTTAAAACAGTGACAGTGCAAAAAAATTGCATCCAATTTTTATAACTTTTAATAGATCATTTTTAAAAATGTGCAATATAAGAAAAAATGTAAATATAAAAGATACCATCAAAGAGACGTTGTTTACAAGACCTAGTCTAGATGGTCTGAATTATACCCAATTTCCATGTAATAACATAGGACACTTCGTCAACTTTCTATTATTCTCCGTCACCTACAGTTATCTGATGCTAGAATGCTTTTCTTCTTATTTCTATCTGCTTATTCACCATGCTGAAGTTTTTGCATTCTGATGCATACTTTATTTGTCATTTTTTTTTGTTTATTGTATTTTTATAGAGATTTTCCAATAAAATGCAATACAACAAAAGTTGCAATTTATACATTAGCAAGAGTTTTTTTTTTGTTTTGTTTTTTATAGACAGAGTAGATAAACTATTTTTTTCTACAGGTACTCATCAATATTTCTGACATTGCATAGGTTTTTTTTGTTTTTTTTAATACAATTGTATTAAAGGAACACTATAGGGTCAGGAACACAAACATATATTCCTGACCCTATAGTGTTTAACCCACCATTTAGGTGGCATGTCCCCCTATAAAAGTTTAAAACTCACCTTATTCCAGCGTCGCGCAGGTCCGCCGGCACTGGCTCTGCCCCCTTTGTAACAATCAAAAGGGCCGATTTTTAGCCAATCCAATGCTTTTCCATAGGGAAAGCATTGGATTGGCTAAAACTGGCACATGGGCAGGGCCAAATGCTGTTTTGGCCAATCAGGACCTCCTCATAGAGATGCATTGAATCAATGCATCCCTATGAGGAAAATTCAGCGTCTCCATGCAGCACGTGGCCACTTGGAGGTGTCCCTAGAGGCAATGTAATCACTGCCTCTTCCCTGATTTTGTTTTCATGAAAAAAAGCCTGAAGGGAATTATACTCATCAGAACAACTACATTAAAGGGACATTCCAGGCACCCAGACCACTTCTGCCCACTGGAGTGGTTTGGGTGCCAACTCCCACAACCCTTAACCCTGCAAGTGTAATTATTGCAGTTTTTATAAACTGCAATAATTACTGTGCAGGGTTAAGTCCTCCTCTAGTGGCTGTCTATCAGACAGCAACTAGAGGGACTTCCATGTTCTGTAAGGACCTCCAGCGTTGCCGAAATCCCCATAGGAAAGCATTGAGTAATGCTTTCCTATGGGGAGGTCTAATGCGCGTGCGCAGCCATTGCCGCGCATGCGCATTAGTTCTCCCCCGCCGGGTGACAGTAAGCGGAGCCTGACCCAGCTCCGAGGGACATCGGCGCTGGACTCCAGTAAGTTTCTGGATGGGGGCTGGGAGGGAGAAGGGCACTGGACATCGGCGCTGGACTCCAGTAAGCAACTTGGGATGGGGGCTGGGAGGGAGAAGGGCACTGTAGGGTCCTGCAGTGCTAGGAAAACAAATAGTGTCCCTTTAATCAACATTTCCAAACCGAATCCACAAACATAGCACAGTTTTGTGGGTTTTTTTTTACATCCTTTATTTTGTTTGTACAGTGATATACAGGCAGCCTTAAACTGGCATGTCTACTTAGTGATAAAGCTCAGGCAAAATAACAAGGTTACTTGACATGCCATGGGTAACAGGCAAAAGTTTTGTTTTTAAGTTATAAAAGGTAAAGAACTGAGCATGTCTGAGTACTGTACGAGAAGTGTTAGAGTATTTAGAAATATAGGCTCGAGACTACTACTGTACGTTGAATACCACTGGTTACCTGGTTATTGTGGCAACAATGCACTGCACTGCACACTGCCAAATTCATTGAACAAATATGGTAATAACAAGAATAAAAAAAAGCAATTTGAGTAAACTCATGTGAAAACATAAAATTAATGAGAACCGCCAGAACAGGTCTATAAGCCTAGGGAGGCTCCATTTATCACGATGGATACAGCTGCATAAGGAGCTGTGGTAGTGACTTGGTGGCAAGCTGAGATCAACCTATGTCTGAATTTGGGAAACATAAGACTTGAGTTCGGAACGGTGGGAGGATAGCGAGGGCGCGATGCAGGGCATCCCTCCAGCTCCAGGCTGGAACATAGGCTTGCAATTGCGATCCACGGACTCAGTAGCTTATACAGTCCAGTCCTTCCCCATTGGGGAGAAACAGAAAAAAACTGCGCATGCGCATTAGGTCTCCCCAGCCGGTGGACGGGATCAGTCTCACCCACCGGCCAACGTAATGGCTGGGAGAAGCGGCGGCGAGAAGAAACCACCGCCGAGGTCTCAGGTAAGTGACCTGAAGGGGTTTTCACCCCTTCAGCTACCGGGGATGAGGGGTGGGAGGGAGAGGGGACTTGCAGTGCCAGGAAAACGGATTGTTTTCCTGGCACTGGAGTTACCCTTTAAAACGACAACATTCTCCGGGTTATCTTTGTTTCCATCTCAGCTACTCTGACCTTACATTTCCAATTCCTTTTTTAATTCATTGTTGACTGAATAACCCCAAATATTTAATTCAACTAAACCTTGCTGACCCATTTGTTTTTTGTAATTTTACAGGAAATCTCCAAAATGCCATCCGAGAGGTGTCCTATTCAGTGCTGGATCGAAGCAGAATGCATCCCCGATCATCTAAATTAATGCAAGTGTGCATAACAGCTACTGTGAACAAATGGACACGAGGCTTGGCTACCACCGCCAGCATAAAGGTCAAAAAATACAGGGGTCCTCTTACTGAATATATTAAATTCTACTTTAATGTTTTGTTGGCTGTTTTTCAAATAATCCACTCGATCTTTACAATGTTTTGTGCATTTAAATTGCCGCAATGAGCACTGCAGTTGGCTATTTATCTTTTATTGTGGTATATTCAATATCTCATGAATAAGGCAGCATTTTTTAATTTTCATCAAAATTGCCTTGTATCCCCACTAGGGCCAAGAGGTAGTGACATTTCAAATCAGTCCCGTGACTAGATATGGAGGGGTGTGGGAGGGTGGTGGCACTGCTGCAAACATAAATATGTCTTAAATATTGTTGAAAAAAATATATTTGTTCATATTTTTTGTAAAATGAACCTGCTGAAAATATTTATCTGATTACCAATAGCCCAGTATGGCCTGACATTGCGACCGGCAATCCCACATTTTTATCCAAATTGGTTCACTTGCTGTCAGACTTATAGGCAAAGTGAATCTATGCTTAAAATAGAGCAATCGTTCACACTTAACTAGAACATTTTAACGGAGATGCTTTAACAAACTGATGTTTCCATTTCCTAAACTCTCTTCCTGAAAGATAAATATTTCAGTTCCTTACTTTAAAACAGGATCCATTGCTTCCTCTTTTCTACTACTCTCCGGTGAAATCTAACACGTCCAGGTCATAATTTATTTACAGTTTAAATGGCCCAAGTCATACGGCATGCACCGGCATCTGGAATCACCAACATTAAATCAGATAAATCCTTTCTCTCCACGAGAGGGAGGGTGAAAAGCATGCGATGATCTGAAGACTCATACTACATAGCATTGATACTTATAGTGCTTTTAAGCAGTACCAGATACTTTCAAGATTTCTGTCTGGTTAAAATGATATGCCAAGTGCCAAACCACTAATACACCTTTCATACATTGCGGTTCAATTACTTACTTTTTTCTTTCTCCTTTTATTGTGTTTTCTGATTTTCCTCGTTTGCGGAAAATCCCCTTAACCTCTAAGTCCACTTGTCTTTTCAGAAGCAAACACTAAATTGTTACCTACTACTATTAGATGTGCGCCTATTAAAGAACTCTTAGTGTTTTTTGTTTTTTTTTTAATAAGCACCACATTATCCAACTTCCTCGGGCTGTGTTTCACTTAGTCCATGAGTAATTAGAGCACATGCATTCTGTCCTCACTTCTCAAACCATGGAATAATGTTAAAAAAGAATTACCGGTATTAGACAGAACTGTCTTCCCTTTCCAAAACTCAGCAAATCCCTGTGCTTTTCTTGCAAAATGTTGCCCTTTACTTATTCATGGTGCCCTGATGTAACCTCTTTCCTTCTCTTTGTTGTTACTAAACTTCTTTGCACAATTCTCTGTGTACATTGTGCATTTTCTAGCTGTTTTTTTGTGCACATTAATGTTGCGCAAATGTGTGAACTATTTTATCTTGTGTATTTTCTTACTGGAGACCATGCTTAAAGGGACACTATAGGAACCCAGACCACTGCAGCTCACTGCCCCTATTGCACTTAGTGCTGCAATGTAAAACATTGCAGTTCCAGAGAAACCAGACAACCACTGGAGGCGCTTCCTGGCTGTTAACGGACTTTTGATCCTGTAACTGAAGCTGGATGTCCTCACGCTCTACATGAGGACATCCAGCGTCAGCTATTTACCCACAAGAAACCATTGATTCAATACTTTCCCACGGGGAGACCTAATGCTTACATGGTACTTGCCACACATGGGCATTAGTGCCCGCTTGTCAAGGGATGTCGGAGGAGGCAGAGCCGCGACCCAGCTCTGAGGGACCCTTTATTCACTGTGTTGGGTGGCGCGGGTGAGGGAGACAGATGGAGCTTTAGTGCCAGGAATACAGCTGTGTATTTCTGCCACTATAGAATCCCTTTAAGCCCTCCTCTACTCAAAGGTAACTTGGCTATTGATTGAAATCCACCATCAACCTAGTATCACACCAAGATCCAATTAACATTCTGAAGGTGGAATGAGGAAAACTTGTGAATTTCAATAGTGCCTACATAATTACAATCATTTATATAGCGCCAACATATTACACAGTGCTGTGCAAAACACGTATGAGTAGAAAAAACCCCAAGCCAAATGCATGCAGTACAAAAAAAATTTTTATTATGAAAATAAGAAATAAAAAAACATTACAGTCTTGCATTAAGCATTAGATATTAAAAATAGTAGGAAAATAAAAAAGTACTGCAGCTGGAATCCCTAGAATTCTATTTCCTTGTAACCGGAACTATTATTATAATTTTTTAGATTTTTTTAAAGGAGTTTAAAAAATATTTGGAAGAATTGTCAAAAGGCATTCAAAAACACAACGTGCAGTTTGATTTTTGGTTTGTCCTGTTTCATAAGGGAAGAATATATATGTGTGTGTGTGTGTGTATATATATATATATATATATATATATATATATATATAATTTTATTTACATTTATTTATTTAAATTTTATGTATTGTACTCCCATAGCTAATGCTAGAATGGACAGTCTCAGCTGTGGCCTCCTCTATATATATAATTGTATTTACATTTATTTATTTAAATTTTATGTATTGTACTCCCATAGCTAATGCTAGAATGGACAGTCTCAGCTGTGGCTCCTCTGTTGCCCGGATGTCCAGACCAATGTGCCAGTTCCTGGTTTTGCGGCAAAAATGTGAACAGCCAGTCTGCAAAGCCTGCTGTGTTGAGGTGTGATATGGATAATGTGTGTGGTGTGGGCCTTCACCGAAACACACAATGAATATGGAAGATCAGGCTGCCATATGGCTGTGCTGATTGTAGTACTAGTCTGTGTTCCAAGGGACAAATACACTTCTAGCAATTGTAACAGATGTTTGGAAACAGTTCCATGTCTTGAGTTGGTATCTTAGTATAATGCTGCTAGTGGTTTGCTATTGATGTTGATCAGGAACTGAACATCTCATTGTAACAATGCAATGTTTTGTGGACCCAGGACATACTTGAAAACAAGTGAAATCTCAATATATCCATCCTGGTAAAATATTTTATTAATAAATAAATAATAAATAAATTACCATCGTGAGATACGTACCAAGGATTCCAAGACTAGACGTCAAGAGACAGATAGCAATGTATGTAACAGCAAGACAGTTTAAACAAAATGTAAGCAAGCGCTACAGGTACTGGAACACAAAAACACACTAGGACTAGGACATCGAGCTGGATGGGGACATAGGAGAATGGGCACAATGACAGGGTCTTCATTGTAGCAGATTACGTCTACCAATGTAGTGGCCTTGGGTCACTCTTATATAGCTGCCAGTTGAAAAGTACACAGGACACAAAAAAGAATGGATGAGCAGCAAGATAGTGCAACCAGAATCTGGTGAAAATGCAGCAGGGATAGGGACACATTACTGAGTACGGAGCTCTCAGAAACTAGGAAGCTAGTCTCAGGAATAAAACTGGAATACAATGTCTCATTAGTAGTTATCCTGATACATAAGGTCATGGCATAAAGATCAACCTAGGATATTGTGTTGAAAAAAAAAAAAACTCTGATGGCCTTGTTATACAGGGTTCAGGAACAAGAAGTCATGGGTCAAATACAGCAAAGAGCCACAGAAGATGAGGTTATCAGCAAGAGCCTGGATAAAGGTTTTACTGCCAGTCGACCAAGAGATTCTGGTAAGACTAGATGTAACGGCACCCCCAGGCATAAAAGGGTTAAACCACCGTTTAGAAGATCTTCCCCTTCCAGAGATACAGGCAGCTACTGTAGACACCAATCCACCGAACCGGAGAAGCATATGAATGCTCTCAAGCATTTGAATGCTGTAAACAGCTGAATAGGAAAAACCATACAAATACACTCCTAGCAGTCAAACTGGAACAGCTCACAATAAATCCCCCAAAGAACGAGACAAGGCTCCGTTTTGAGGGTCAAGCAGGAACAGACAGAGCTGTGGGTTTATTGTTCTTATATACACATTAGTACCACCCACAGGGTTTTGGGAAAACAACCAATAAACACATACAATACACTCAGACACTCCCACACAAAATCCTCCCCTCTGCCTGTGATACAATTACCTTACACAATGGGTAATGTAATTATCACAGCCAGAGAAATACAGTTTTTCCACATTATTCATAACTTGAAAAGTATGCATCACATTCACATAAAACTTACATTTTCAGAGCATACTCCAAATACAAACATATGTCAAAATCATCCAACTTGGTCCATTGGTTCAAAAGATAGATCGAAGTCCTTTGTGACCAAATTAAGCATGGCTTTTCTGCCCAAAACCAGTTCCACAGAGTCTTCTATCCTGGAGATAATTGGGAAGTAATCCAATTATCTCCAAGGACAGAGGCAAAACTCCATTAAGCACATGGCAGTAAAAAGACAGTAAAATACAATAAAATACACAAGGTTACATTTATTACATAAAATACAGACATGCAACATATCCCCAGATAGCTTAGGTCTGAGCGCACATTATTACTGAATGGCGCTCAGACCACACACATACAGTTCAATTGCCATGGAGCCAAAGTCTTTTATTACACGAATAGGCTCCATGGCATAGCTATCTGGGTTAAATGAGTTCATTCAGTAAATCCGAGAATCTACCGAACGCCAGGGCAGAAATACAGGAATAGACCTTTCTGCATAGGAAAATAAAGTATTTAAATGCCGGTCCATAGTCAAAAGGCAGCAGGCAGGCAACCAGGCTCCTCCAATGCACAGTGGCGAGATTGGTCTCGTCACACTAGGCCTTCGGATCCTTCAAATCTGAATACACAAATTACGTGACACGGTGCAGGGGATTGCATAGCAACAAAGCCAGTGGCTCGGCAAAATAATGTGCAGACTGGAAACTACCTGAGGCTTTAGAGCTAGCTTGGCACTTATCCCAGGTTTTACCCAGTGCATGTCTTGAAATGATCAATAAGCCATTACATTCCTTACAGACAGTCGATTCTATGTATTTCCACTGATATGACTGCTGCTAACAG